CCTTGGGATTTCTCCTTACTCTGGGCTCATGGTCATACCTGGTGCCACAGTCCAGAGTGTCTTCGTTGGCCCAAGGAGGTAAGGATGTGGCTCCTGTATCCCCAGCTCTACCCAGTTGGTGTGACTGTAGAAATCCTGGTCCCAGAAGAAAGAAAGAAAAAAAAAATAAGGCACTTACTTGTCTGATGTAGTTAATCACCAGTCCTAACGTGCCACTCCTTTAAATTCCTACCCAGAAAGTCTTCTCCACTCCCTGCTTCTGTCAGACACCTTGAATCCACGTCGCTACCACAGCTCTCTCTATTGCCAGAACAGAGATATACCCATGTGGGAAATTGGGAAATGTTTTATCTTGGAGACTAAATCAAAAGCCTCTCAGTACCCACTTCTCCAGGGTCCTGCAGGTGATTGAGCCAAATCCCCACCTCGCCCATCTTATCACCTTTCTCTCCCCACTCCCTCTTCTGCAGCTCCAGTGGTCTCCTGTTGGGATATTCTTGGATGAGGGACTTTAAAAGCATAGGACAGCCAGGTGCTGGTGGCTCACGCCTGTAATCCTAGCTATTCAGGAGGCTGAGATCTGAGGATTGTGGTTAGAAGCCAGCCTGGGCAAGAAAGTCCATGAGACGTTTATCTCCAATTAACCACCAGAAAACCAGAAGTGGCACTGTGGCTCAAAGTGGTAGAGTGCTATCCTTGAGTAAAAAAGCTCAGTGATAGTGCTCAGGCCCTGAGTTCAAGCCCATGACGGAAAAAAAAAAAAGCTCAGGGTAAGCCAGGCTCAAAGACACAAATGATGCACATATGCAGAAGCTAGACCTAAAATACACTTGGACATGATAAAGTATGCAGGACTCTAGGCATTCACAAACTGAAAGACCAAAGGATACTCTTAGGAAAGGAACACACAAGTGCAATTCTTATATGCCACTTGATCATATAAAATAACATTCATCAAAATGAGCTCCAGGAAATGGAAATAAGAGGTTTTTTTCTTTTTTGTTTTTCTTTTCTTTTCTTCTTGTCTTGTTTGTTCATTTTTCTGTCTTTGGGAGAGTAAGAGGAAAGCACAGAAATAGAAGGACAAAAGATAAACAAATGCAGCACTGGTACTAGACACTATGTTGAAAATAAACTATACAACTTATAGGTAGGGATGTCAGGGAAAAACTGGGAGAGAACAAGGGAAAGAGTGACATTGTCCAAAAAGAAATGTACTCTTTACCTGACTTATGTAACTATAGCCCCTCTGTACATCACCTTTATAATAACAATATAAAAAATTAAAAAAAAAAAACTCAGAGACATTTCCCAGGACCCAGGAAATGAAGAACAAAAACAAAAAAAAAACATGGGACATGTTTTTCCAAAGAACCATCTGACATGTCAGCAGTGTTCCTGGTCTCAACAATTATCACACGCAATGACCCATGAGATGTGAAAAACACAAGATTGCCACGTACTGGTGGATCACACAATCCTAGCTACTCAGGAGTCTGAGACCTGAGGATTGTGGTTCGAAGCCAGCCAGGCAGGAAAGTCTGTGAGACTCTTATCTCCAATTAACCATAGAAAAAGCCAGAAGTGGAGCTGTGGCTCAAGTGGTAGAGCTCTAGCCTTAAGCAAAAAGAAGGTCGGAGACAGTGCCCAGGCCCAGAGTTCAGGCCCAAGGACTAGGAAAACAAATAACAAAAAACATGGGACATGTTTTTCCAAAGAATGACTGTCATGTCAGCAGAGTTCCTGATTGACCTCAACAATTATCACATGCGATGATCCATGAGACCTGAAAAAATAGCTTGCCAGGTGCTGGTGGCTTAGAGCTATAATCCTAGCTACTCAGGATGCTGAGACCTGAGGATCTTGGTTCATAGCCAGCCTGGGCAGGAATATCCATAAGAGTCTCAACTCCAATTAAACACCAAAAAGTAGAGCTGTAGCTCAAGTGGTAGGGTGCTAGCCTTAAGCAAAAAAGCTAAAGGACAGGGCCCAGGCTTTGAGTTCAAGCCCCAGGACCAGTAAAATAACAACCACCAAAAAAAAAAAAAAAAAAGAAAAAACCAACACACATAGATTCCCCATGACCTAAAAGAAAGTTTAAGGTACAGCTTCATTGTAAGACTCAACGTCTACAAAACTACTTTAAAAAGCCATAAGAGGGCTGGGAAGGTGGCTCAGTGGTAGAGTGCTTGCCTTGCAAGCCTGAGGCCCTGGGTTCGATTCCTCAGCACCATATAAGCAAAAAGAAAAAAAGCTGGAAGTGGCGCTGTGGCTCAAGTGGTAGAGCGCTAGCCTTGAGCTGAAGAGCTGAGGGACAGCGCCCAGGCCCAGAGTTCAGGCCCCACAACCGGACCCAAAAAAAAAAAAAAAAGCCATAAGAAACACTATAGTTCCTTTTTTTTTTTTTTTTTTTTTTTGTGGGTTGTGGGGCTTGAACTCTGGGCTTGGGCGCTGTCCCTCAGCTGTTCAGCTCAAGGCAAACGCGAGCCACATCACCACTTCCAGTTTTCTAGTGGTTTATTGGAAATAAGAGTCTCACAACGTTTCCTGCCCGGGTTGGCTTTGAACTGTGATCCTCAGATCTCAGCCTCCTGAGTAGCTAGGATTACAGGCATGAGCCACTGGCACTGGGCTCACTACAGCTCCTTTACACCAGAAATGGTCCATTTTACCTCCACTCAATTTGTCCTATCATTTCTAAATGACTCCATGTTCTTGACCACATACATGGTGTATACATACATATATATGTACACATCTGAAGAAAGCGAGGAGGGGGACACAGAATCAGAGGGAAACAGGGAAAATATACAACAGAGGGGCCCATCAGCTGCACTGGACATGGATGAAAACAAACTAAGCGACTCAAGGGCAGCAATGGGAGGGAGGGAGTGAGAGGGAAAGAGGGGACAGCTGACACTAAGCAAAGGAAAGCAAATGCACATATCACCCGATGGGGAAGAAAGAGTTGTACTGTCATAGAATTCACAAACATTATAGACCATGATAGTGACAATTTGCCTTGTGAAGGTTAAAATGTGTTTGTGACTTTAAGTATCACTATCTCACAATACTGTGAAATTGGTAAAATGTATGTAATCATTTAATCTCAATAAAACATTATTTTTAAAAAAAAGGTCCATTCTGGGGGGAATTAAGGAGGCATCATAACGTTTAGGACAGACCCCTCTTGCTATTACTCCCATTCTTCTCACCTGTAATGCATGAAGTGCAGCGCCCAGGCGCTGGCGGGCCAGAGTGTAGTCATGGGCTCTGGCTGCCACCACCGTTTCCTGCAGAGCCTCGGTCATGCGTGTGCGTCCCTGGTCCAGCCGTTCAGCATCAAAGTGCAGGTCAGGGTCATTCTTGGTATTTGGCAAGAAGTCCTGGGCTGCATTGGCCCGTGACACCTCACGTAAGGCCGCTCGGAACTGCCGGGAAGTATACTCAGGTCCAAAGTAGGCAGCAAAGAGGTGGTCAGTGATGATGGTTTTGCCCTGACACAAGTGGAGGGATAGGGGATTCCATCATTGCTCACATCATCACCTTAGCAACTAATACTCAAGTATGGATGGACTCAAGGGTACCCCACAAGGGAGGGGTGCATCTGGACCTTTCTTTTTTTGTCAGTCATGGGGCCTGAACTCGGCCTGGACGCTGTCCCTCAGCTCTTCAGCTCAAGGCTAGCGCTCTACCACTTGAGCCACAGCACCACTTCCGGCTTTTTTCTGCTTATGTGGTGCTGAGGAATCGAACCTAGGGCCTCATGCATGCAAGGCAAGCACTCTACCACTGAGCCACCTTCCCAGCCCCGCATCTGGATCTTTCTGAGGAGGAGGCACTCCTGATTTCAGGACCAGGACTACTGGGCATTGTTGCTATTAGGAGTTGGGCTGGAGTGGGAAAGAGGGGGTCCAAAGATGGGTGGCTAGGAATGCTCACCAGAAAGTCTTCTAGACGAAGGGGTGGCCGGTCAGGGAGTGGATGCTCCAGGAAGAGCTGTAGGGTGACATTAAGTGCTGCCTCCTCAGTCATGTGCTGGTGGCTGATGGAGTCAGGGGCAGCCATGAGGTTCCAGACATTGGTTAAGAAGGCAGATGTAGGGGGCAGCAGCAGCTGCAGCAGAAGCAGGGTTGAGGGCTGAAGGGCCCCGGTAAGACAGGGGCGCTTCCACCGAGAGCAAGGCTGAGACATGGACCTGGGGGACAGAAGGCTCTCAAGGGAGAAGGAATCAGTGGCCGATTCCAGGGCAGGCCCTGTTTTGTTTGTCCCCAAGGCACCTGTTTTGGCAGACTCTGGCTTTGTCTCAGATACATTTATTCCAGCCTGGTTCCCCGCACTGTCCCACTGAGTCACCCTGCCCACCTGAGGGCCTTACCAGGCCAATAAGGACACACACGCCCTAACTACCTGAGGGCCTTACCAGGCCAATAAGGATATTACCTGTCTAAGACTCCTCCTCCCAGGCCTCCCTCATTCCAGGAGTCCCCAATGTTCCCAGGGACCCCCTTATACATAGGATATGGGTTCCCCTCAGCTTCTCTCCTACCTGGTTGCTGGGTCTCCTGGTCAGGGCTGGCTGAGGCTTGGCATCACAGGGCACTTAGGTCAGAGTTATAATTAACTGAACCTCAATGTGGGGGGGAGGGAAGCCCCAGCAAGGGGGCAGGCAAGACAGGTGGCCCCTGGCCCTCCATTCATGCCCACCCAGGACCACAAGCAGCAGGCTGCACAGGATGACACCAGGGCGGGCCTCCGGGCAGTGGTGCAGTGCCGAGGTGAGGAGGGCTGGGGAGGAAAAAGGGAGGGAGCGGCACAGCAGCATGACTCAGGCCTGGCACAGTGCCAGGGACAGACCCAGACAGACGCATCCCTCTACCAGCACCCGGTGCCTGGCTCAGGGCCTGCAGCGCTCCAGAGGGGCACACCGGCAGCTCTGAGGATCCAGAAGGCAGCCTTCTGTGTCTGCTCTGACCCCTACCACATGCACACACAAGAGATGAATTTGTGGCAAAATATTTTATTGCTGCCCTCCCAATGGTGGACCACTGGGGCCTGAGGGTTGGAGCAGGGTGTGTCACAGCATCTTCTGGAATAGGGCAATGGCCTCATCCACCTTCCTGAGCTCTGCCTCTGTCTGTTGTAGCTGGGGGGAACAATGAGAGTGGGCAGCGTGGTGAGAATCCAGTCCTAAGAGGGGACCCGATCACCAGGACAGAGAGGGGTCCAAGCCGAGATGGGGAGCTCAGGAGCTGTGCACCTGAGGTTCCACCCACAAGTCCCCTACACAGCATTCCTCTCCCTTCCACCACGACCCTGACCGTGACTCTGGGTCTCTCTTTTTCAGAGCGGGCAGTGCTCAAGGACAAGGGACCTTGAGTAAATGCCCCACTCAAGTAGGAGAGGACTGGCTGCCCAAAGGTCATATAATCTTCACTTATAAAACAAAAGGCCAGCCGGGCACCAGTGGCTCACGCCTGTAATCCTAGTTACTCAGAAGGCTGAGATATGAGGAGCACAGTTCAAAAAGCCAGCCTAGGCAGGAAACTGTGAGACTCTTATCTCCAATTAACCACCAGAAAACCAGAAGTGGCGCTGTGACTCAAGCCTCAGCCCCACAACCAAAAAAAAAAAAAAAAAAAAAGGCTGGCTAGGTTCTGGTAGCTAATGCTCATAATCCTAGCTACTCAGGAGGCTGAGATCTCAGGATCCCGGTTCAAAGCCAGTCTAGGCAGCTGGGCAGGAAAAGTCCATGAGACTCTTAACTCCAACTAACCACCAAGTAAAAAGCCAGAAATGAAGCTGTAGCTCAAGTGGTAGAATGATATCCTTGAGCAAAAAAGCTAGGGGACAGGCTGGGAAGGTGGCTCAGTGGTAAGAGTGCCTGCTTTGCATGCATGAGGTCCTGGGTTCGATTCCTCAGCACCACACAAGCAGAAAAAGCTGGAAGTAGTGCTATGGCTCAAGTGGTAGAGCGCTTACCTTGAGCTGAAGAACTCAGGGACAGCGCCCAGGCCCAGAGTTCAGGCCCCACAACTGACCAAAAAAAAAAGCTAGGGGACAATGGCCAAGCCCTGAGTTCAAACCCTAGGACTGGCATGTATGCACGCACACACACAAGCACACGTGCACATACACATCCCTAACACTGTCTACTAGCAAGGGACACTGGAGAATGGAGTCAGCTGAACTGAACTTCATCAACACTCTACACTTCAGTAGTCTTACTGTTATCTCTGGTCCATGCACTTTACCCACTGATTCTCTTGGAAAATCCCGGAGGCAGAGGGTGTGCAGGGGGGCCATACGAGGAGGCAAGCCTGGATTTCTGGGGTCACCCCAGTAGGCTATGGAAGTAGAAATAGGTTGTAGACTTGGAGCTGGACCACATGTGGGTCCTAACTCAGCCCCTGAAGTGAGTTTTGATGTTCTGGGCAGCAGGGTCTGGTCTACTAGGAGTGAGGTTCTAAGTCTATTTCTGTCCAATCTGCTGCATGACCAGGAATGGGGTCTTGGTCCCTGGCTGTCCTCCTGTGTACAGGGAGGGAACTCCATGCTCAAGGCACCAGGGATCTGAACTTCCCCATGGATTGTCTAGGGTTGGCAGAGTCCAGCGTCAGAAGCAGGATTTGAAGACAGAGGCGGGAGCCCTCCCACCCCCGTGCAGCACCAGCACACACCTTGGCGTCATCTGCCTCCTGGACTTCGAGGGGAACCTTGACAGAGTAGCCGGAGGCGGTGCGGCGCTCCCGCAGACGCTGGGCCTGCCTCTGCGCCTCACTTCGTTTGGCCTGCAGTTTGCTCAGTTCCCGGGCTGGATCCACTAGTCCCTGCAGCTGCAGGTGGATGGAGCAGCGGTCAGAGGCCAGAGCCACGGCGCAGCCCTGGGGTGCAGGGGCCCCCAAGGCCAGGACAGCCACCACACCCGCGCTGGCCAGCGCCTGCACATATCCAGACACCGCGGAGGCCACAGCACCTGTGGCCTCATCAGCCACTTCCAGGAAACCTGCAGAGGAGGGAGGAAGGTGAGGCCTGGCCCCAAGGATTCAGGACACTTGGTAGCTGCAGCAGGACTCTCAATGGGCAGGGGGTCTTAGGGGCCTGAAGCTCACAGTCGGGCCGGATCCGGGTCAGGTTGTAGTCGGCACGTAGGGAGCGCACAGCTCGAGTGATGCTTAGCGCGAGTTCAAGGGAGGCTTCTGCTTCAGTGTCCTTCCAGGAGCACTGTGGGCAGAGAGGAGAGGAGGCGGTGAAGGAGGCTGTGGAGTGGACCAGAGCCCTCTCCAGATCACATGCCATACCTCTGCAGGCTCTGGATAAGGGGTAATGCAAAGGCTAGCGGGAGCTTGTGGTGTCCGTCGGGGAAGCCTCTGGAACAGCTCCTCCGTCACAAAGGGCATGAAGGGTGAGAGCAGCCGCAGGCCAACGTCCAGACAGGTGTAGAGGGTCTGGCGGGCGCTCTCAGCTGCAGCCTGGTCTGCTCCATTCAGTACTGGCTTTATGCACTCCTAGAGGGGGATGGGGAGGCACAGGGCTCAGGGTGGGGGGGTCTAGTCTCAAGCTCTCATGTGCCTGTGAGGACTGAGGAGAGATCAGGTTGACTCAGCCTCAGAGCCGGGCACAGGCACAGCTGCTCCCACACTCCACCCCACTGATCTGCTTCTCACCAAGTACACGTCGCATAGCTCATAGAGCCAAAAACTGTACTGAGCAGTGGTGATGGCTGGGAAATCATAGGCCTGGAAACCTTCATTGCTAAGCCGCACAGCCTCGGTCAGCCGGCTGCGGATCCAGCGGTCCACCAGGCTCTCGTGGCCTCCAGGCTGCAGGGAAGAAGTCTATCAGCAGCAGGCCACCACAGGCCTGGGGAGAAAGAATCAGACTCCACAGGGTAGGAACCGTGGGCGACTCTATATTCCTACTGGGGCCCAAGGCACCCAAGCATGTGCCCAGGCCCTGGCCACCTTGGGAGGACCAATGCCTCCAACTGTCGGCTTTAATCTATCCCACAGGCACTGGGGGAGGCCCTTTTGGCTAGAATCCTGTCATAACCTTGGCGTCTGCTTGGTGCCTAAAAGGTAGAGATGCAGCCCATGTGACATGAGAATTACCAACTTTACCACCCACCAGGCCCTCACCTTGGAGGTGGGTGAGGGCACAAAACCCTTCCCAAGGCCACGGAGGGCAAACTTGGTGGCGTTCCAGAGCTTGTTGCAGAAGTGGCGGTAACCCAGAATCCGGTTCACATCCAGGTTGATGTCCCGCCCTGGGAGACGGGTGAGCATGAGTCCTTCCAGTCCTCCCTCCTAGCCAGACCCACAGGGACCCAGGGCAGAGGGTGGGTGGGCCCCAAGGAAGGAGGCTACAGCAGTTGAAAGGGAGGTGTGCAGTCCATACCCTGAGATGTATAGGCACAGAGTCCAAAGCGGAGGGCATCAGTGCCACACTCAGGAATCCCTACCGGGAAGTCGGCTTTCTGCAGTAAGAGGCAAACGGAGCAGTGTCCCTGGTCAGCTCTGCCCACCTTCTGCTGGGCTCCAACCCAAGGCCCTGCTCTCCATACCTGCCCTTCTCTAGCTTTCTCCACCTCACTGGGATCCAGGTTGCTATTCAGTAATTGGTCGTGAAGGCCCTGGAAGGGAGGAGCGGTCAGGTGGTCAGACAGCTGTGCCCACAGCCCCATAGCTGTTCTCAGCTGGCCCAGCACCTGCCTTACCTGCAAGGAGACTCCATGGATGACGTCCAGGGGGTCGATGACGTTGCCTAGAGACTTGCTCATCTTCCTGCCGTGAGCATCACGCACGATAGCATGCAGGTAGACCTGCAGAGCAGGCAGTGGGGAGGCCACCAAGGCTGAGTCCTCTCTTCCAGTCTCAGTGCCCTCCACCAGGCTCTATCTTCTCCGACCTCAAGCCCCTCTGTGCCTACAAGCTTTATGTCAATTGCTGGCACTCCCACCTCACCCCGGGCCAGGACACAGGAATTGCTAAGTGTAGCTGAGGCTGGATTTCAGCCCCACAAATCAGGCCCACCCAGAGCCATCCTGAAGCCAGTCTGTGTTCCCACCCATGGGGAGCCTGAGAACAGGTAAGGAGAGTGGAGGCTGTGGGAGGCTTGGTCATTTTCATACCTCTCTGAAAGGCAGCCTGCCAGTGAGCTTTAGGCCGAGCATGACCATCCGGGCCACCCAGAAGAAGAGGATATCATGACCTGTTTCCAGCAGTGTCCCTGGGTAGAACACACTGAGGTCTTCGGACTAAGAGCAGAGCAGGGTGTGAAGGGCAGCCAAGTATCCCCTTCCAAGACCTCACCCCAACCCAGCCGAGACCCAGGAACACACCTGATTGGGCCAGCCCAAGATGGAGAAGGGGAAGAGGCCAGAAGAGAACCAGGTGTCCAATACATCCTCATCTGAGAAGACCAGAACAAAGGTCACTTGATCAGAGGCGGTTGTAGAGAGGGTCAGAGACTCAGCTGTCCCCACCCACAAGGCCCTGCCTTGCCTTGCTGGAGGCTGATCTTGTCGGGGGATACTCCAAACTCTTTGGCTGCCTTCTCCCGCGCCTCTGCCTCACTGCGTCCACTCACCCAGTATCGCCCATCAGGGTCCTGTCACAAATGCAGTGAGTACCCAAAGGGGTGCCTTCGCCTTGCCCTGTCCCCTTCCCCAACCAACGACTCCACAAACCATGGCACCCACACATGTTTAGCCCTGTGCCATCCTCACCTCCCCAGGGGGCACTGTGGGATCATCAACAGTAACAAAGTAGGCTGGAATGCGATGGCCCCACCACAGCTGCCGGGAGATGCACCAGTCCCTGCAAACGGCGACATGGGGAACCAGGGAGGCCATGAGGAGCCCCTGCCTGGGCCCCTTACCCTCGCTCAGCTACACTCTTCCCCCTGAGAGGGTCTACACACCGGATGTTGTCCATCCAGGAATGCCATGTCCGTTGATGGGCCTCAGGCAGGATACGGAGGTCGCCCCGGGTCACAGCAGCGCTGGCAGCCTGGGCCATCTCCCCACAACGCACGTACCACTGCGGCCTTAGCAGAGGCTCCACCACATCCTTGGAACGGCTAGAGGTACAGGTCGGGTAGACAGGCCAGGCAGTCAGCCCGAGAAGCTCCCACCCACCCTTTCCCCGGCCCCTGCCCCGCCCCGGCCCCTGCCCTCACTTGCAAAGCGGCACCACCATGGGGTTGTCCTCAACGCCACGAAACAGTCCCTGCTCTTTCAGGGCTGCCAGCACTGCCTTCCTGGCCTCAAACCTGGGCATGTTCTGGAAGAGAGGACTGTCACAGTGATGCCTAGATACCCCTGAGCCTCCTCCAACTTGGACCCATACCCTGGCAACCTTACCAGGAAAGGTGGGGGCACGTTTACGAGGGCCCCACGGGAGTCCATGATGCTGATGGCTTCCAGCCCATGCCGCTGCCCGACCTCATAGTCATTCTGGTCATGTGCAGGGGTGATCTTCACAGCACCTGGAGAACACGAGGGATGCCAGGTCCCAGGTGACTGAAAAGCTCCTTCCCACACTCACCCTCCATACTGAAGGATATGGCGCCAAGACCTCCATAGCCACTACTTCACTAATAAGTTTCCTTAAGTTTCCTAAGACCCAGCCCCAGTCCTGTCTGATCAGGGGAAGATTATTTTCTCTTTGAGAGAGGAGAGGGAGGGCTGAGGTACACCTTGTGGGCTTCCCTCCTTTAATAGCACCAAGCAGCCCCCCTGCTCACCTGTGCCAAACTCCATGTCCACAAACTCATCGAAAACAATGGGGAGGCTCCGAGACAGGAACGGGTGGATCAAGCTCTTCCCCTTCAGATGCTGGGGACAGAGATGATAAAAACGCACTGAGAAGCCAGGTACTGGTGGCTCATACATGTAATCCTACTCAGAAAGCTGAGATCTAAAGATTGAGGTTCAAAGCCAGCCCAGACAGGGAAGTCCAGGAGACATTAATCTCCAATTAACTATTCAACAAGCCAGAAGTGGTGCTATGGCTCAAAGTGGTAAGCACCCAGGGCCTGAGTTCAAGCTCAGGACTGGTGTGTGTGCGCACACGCGCTCACGCAGAGGCATTGGACCCTGATAAGTTATAATGTCAGTTAACTATCATATGGCAAAATACTTTATTTTAAAAAGAAAAAACTGCACACAGGACTGGGCCTGAGTCTGATTAACCTGTAACACTCAAACACCCCTGAATGGTGTGACAACTTCACCTTCAGGGCTGGGAAAGGATCTAGATGAGTTTCGTACCCAATCTTCCTGGGGCATAGCCATGGGCCTCAATACCCACCTCCCTTGCCGAGTAAATGGGGGAACCTTTTGAGAATGACATCTTTTCCCAGCTGTGAGCAGCACCCTACCTTACCTTATACCTGGGATCATTGGGGTGCACAGCCACAGCCACGTCTCCCAGCATGGTCTCAATCCGAGTTGTTGCCACCACCACCTCCTCGTTGTGGTCTGGAGGGACAAAGGCTTTGTGGTTTCAGCCCTGGTTTGTTTCCCTCAATTCCAACCCACTCAGCCCAGATCTTGGTGCCCTTGGCTCTCACCTGAACCTTCCACCTTATAGGCAAAGGACACAAGGACCCCAAACTCCACTTTCTCCTTGTAACCAGGTACTGAGAGTAGGGTTCGGCCCGTCAGCTCTTTTTTATCGACCTATACGTAAGATGGACATTTAGAGCAGTGGCCCAGTGGCTGGGGTGAGGGATGGAGATGAAAGGCTGGGGAGTAGGGGTGTACCTCAATGTCAGAGATGGCGGAGTTGAGTGTGCAGGACCAATTAACCAGGCGGGTACTGCGGTAGATGACACCTTCTTCATGAAGCCGGACAAAGGCTTCAGTCACAGCTGTTGACAATTTCTGGGCAGAATAGGGAGAGGTAAGAGAACTGGGTCTTAGTACTTGGCAGACCCCCATCCCAGGGAACAGGACCCAGTGATATGTGGCTGGTCCAGAGTCCCAACAGGTGGCACACTTTCCCTGAATGGGAGAAGGGCTTATAGGAGCATAAAGACAGGTGTCAAGCCTGAGGATTCTGGGGCATCAGGGCAGCCACACAGCGGGAGTCATGAGCTAGGCAAAGCATCCTGGGAGCTCAGGTGCCAGGAGGAAGGTGGTCTAATTCCATCCACGTGGGGAACTCGAGAGCTCTTAAGCAGCCCATCTGGTGAGACGGGAGGTGCTAAGATCTCTGTGGTGTCCTAGCAACCAGCATCTCCTAGGGGTGTGTATACGTGTGCCATCCCTTGTCCCACTCAAGAAGCCTCTCACTCCCATCCCAGCGGAGACCCTGCCTGCTCACTGGGTCCATGGTGAAACAGGCTCGATCCCAGTCCAAGGAGCTGCCAAGCTTCTTTAGCTGGTGGTAAATCCGGTCGCCCTTCCTAAGCAGACAGAAAGACCAGGATCAGCACTCAGGCCTGGGCTTGAGGGAAGCATGACAGGATGGTGTGAGCATCACTCACAACCCTGAAATTGACCAGGGCCTGGAACCAACTGACCCCTGGGATCTGTGGGATGGTATGGGTAGGACCCTGCAGGCAGGGGTCACGGTAGGGATGGAGAGGCAGGGCTTTGGGGCCTGCAGTAATGAATGTGGTGTACTCACTCCTCCTTCCACTTCCAGACCTCCTGAAGAAAGGCCTCTCTGCCCAGTTGGTGCCGGTTCAGCCCCCGCTCTCGCCATAGTTTCTTCTCCACCACTACTTGGGTGGCAATGCCTGCATGGTCACAGCCTGGGTTCCACAGGGTGGTCTCCCCACGCATGCGGTGCCTATGGGAGGGTGTGAAGACCAGAGTGTGAGCCAGGCTGCTAGAGCCTGGCAGCAAAGAGCTTCTAGGCAGGGAGTCAATAGATGTGCAGGGTAGACTTGGAACCCTAGAGTTCTAAATCTAATCAGGGGGAAGATTCACAAGAATAGCCAAGCAATCCAGAAAAGAGCAAAGAGGAGGCTCTGGCCCAAGTAGATAGCAAATTGTGAGGAAGTTATGCTTAGTGAAATAGGGTATCATCAGGAAAAAAGTAACAAATTAGGAAAGCAAAACAGTAGGGGAAATGGATCAAAGCAAAGTGAGCATCTGTGAAGGGCAGCAGTCCATATTAATAGGTAAGGATAAAGGATTGTGTAAGTTTTTTTTGAGATAAGCTAATTATTTGAAAAAAAACTACAGACACAAATAAATTGTATACACACTGAAGTACTTAACAATAAGCAACCAAAACTATGAGAAAAACATAGAAAGTAAGTTTCCAAAAATTGGGAGGGAAAAATAAAAGGAAAAAATAACATGGATAACATATCTATAAATGTGAAGTAGGAGGGGACTTCTGTAGTAAGATACAAAAGCTGTATTCAAAATAACATTATTGAGAAATTGGCTAGATTCAGGCTAATGCCAGAAACTACCTCCCAGTAGAATTAAAAGACATGAGCACTAGTCCATTTTGGATAAAATGAAAGTAATGTTTTAGGGAATTAATCAACTGGAAACAGTAATATTTTTTGGGTGTGACATCCTTTTAGTATTACTAGGTACAGCCAGGCTGCTGGTGGCTCACACCTGTAATCCTAACTACTCAAGAGGCTGAGATCTGAGGATTGCAGTTCAAAGCCAGCCCAGGCAGGAAAGTCCCTAAAACTCTTATCTCCAATAAACCACTAGAAAACTCGAAGTGGCGCTGTGGCTCAAGTGGTACAGCACTCGCCTTGAGCTGAAGAACTCAGGGACAGCACCCCGGTCCAGAGTTCAGGCTCCATGACTGATAAAAAAAAAAAAAAAAGAATTACTAGGTATACATAAAAGTGGTACTGGAATATAGAGGACTGGAATATAGCTCAGAGACAAAGCATTTGTCTAGTAAGTACAACATCCTGGGCTGGATCCCTAGTAACAAAAAAGAAAAGACTAAAAAAAACTCCACAAAAACCCAAACAACAAAAACAAAAGTGGTGGAAAGAAAATTACTACAGCCAGGTGCCGGTGGCTCATGCCTGTAATCCTAGCTACTCATGAGGCTGAGATCTGAAGATCATGGTTCAAAGCCAGGAAACTCCATGAGACTCATCTCCAATTAACTACCGGAAGTGGAGCTGAGGCTCAAGTGGTAGAGTGTGAGCCTCAGCCTGAAGAGCTCAGGGACAGCTCCCAGGCCGAGTTCAAGCCCCATGACCGACAAAACAAAACAAAAAAAAATTACTACCAAAAAAACTGTAACATTCATACATTACTTTTAATGACTCATGATTTACTGGGTTCAATCCTCAGTATCAAAAAGGAAAAGACTAAAAAAACCCAAAAAACCAAAAACCCAAAGAACAATAATTAAAAAATGATGGAGAGAAAATTACAAAAAACTATAACATCCATACCTTATTTTTAATGACTCATTCAAATGGCTAGTCATGATTTTACCCTGCTATGTTCAGACCTTGCAGATAGAAGTATGCTCAAGAATTGATACTTAAGGGCTGGGAAGATGGCTCAGTGGTAGAGCGCTTGCCTTGCATGCTTGAGGTCCTGGGTTTGATTCCTCAGCACCACATAAGCAAAAAGAAAAAAGCCGGAAGTGGCGCTGTGGCTCAAGTGGTAGAGCGCTAGCCTTGAGCTGAAGAGCTGAAGGACAGCGCCCAGACCCAGAGTTCAGGCCCCACGACCGGACCCCCCCCCCCCCAAAAAAAAAAGAATTGGTCCTTAAATGCCAGAAAATACCCAAACATATTTAATGCACTCCAAGATCGTTATTAGGTATAACTATTAAAGAAATGAAACACGTGGCTGGGCCTATGGTTCAGTGGTAGAGAGCTTGCTTATCAAGCATGAGACCCAGCAGTACAAAGAGGAAAACTACAACCACAATAAAAATAGTTTCACTAGAAGCACCTCTTGAGAGTTCATATAAACTTTATTCACACAAACACACACACACACACACACACACACGCACGCACACACGCACACACGCATGCACATATGGCAGCCAGGAGCTAGTTGCTCATGCCTGTAAGCCTAGCTATAAAAGAGGCTGAAATCTGAGAATCCTGGTCAGTCAGCCTGGGCAGAAAACTCCATGAGACTTTTATCTCTAATTGGCCACTTAATAAGTAACCAGAATTAGAGGTAGGTCTCAAGTGGTAGAGAACCAGCCTTGAACAGAAAAGCTAAAAGATAGTCCCCAGGCCCTGAGTTTAAGCCCCAGTACTGGTACACACAAAAAAAGTTAGGAGCTGGGTACTGGTAGCTCATGCCTGTAATTCAACTCAGGAGATTGAGATCTGAGGATTGTGGTTCAAAGCCAGCCAGGAAAGGAAAGTTCGTGAGACTGTTATCTCCAGGAAACCAGAAGTAGTAGAATGCCAGCCTTGATCAAAAGAGCTCAGGGACAGCAACCAGACCCCACGTTCAAGCCCCATAACCAATACAACAAAAAAGTCAGGACTATTTGTAGAAAAATACCCCTATTCCCGGAGTAAGGAGAAGGAAAAAATATATATATATAATTAACAACTCAATTACTTGCTTTTTATAATCTTCTATTTGATAGTCATTTAAGGTTTTATTTCAGCTCATTTCTTGGTTATCTTTTCCCTCATACTAGGGTTTTGAACTCAGAGCCCAGGACTTGCTAGGCAGGTACTATTAACACTTCAGCTACTTTTTGCCCTTTTTGCTTTGGTTGTTTTTCAAATAGGGTATCAAACTTTTTCTGAGGCCAGCTTTGAGCTGTGAACCTCCTTACTATGCCTCCTGAATAGCTGGGATTGCAGGCATGTACCACCATGTTTGGTCCTCAGATGTAATTTTTATTCTAAAATGTTGATGTAAATCTATTCCATTGAAAGGAGCTGGGCATGGTGGTGTGTACTTGTAGCCCCAACTACTTTAGGAAGCTGAGACAGGAGAATCATCTAAGAGCTGGAGAGTAGCCTAGGCATACAGTGAGACCCCCAGCTCCAACAACAACATCGAGAGAGAGAGAGAGAGAGAGAGAGGGAGAGAGAGAGAAAGAGAGATGGAGAAGGGGGAGAGAGAGGGAGAGGGAGAGGGAGAGAGAATATGAAGGGAGTCTATATGGAAGGAAAAATCTATGTAACTCAGACTGGTAAGAAACACAAGATCCTCCTATCTTCATCTCTGTATGCTGGGATTATAGATATATATTATCATGCCCTGTATAAAATTATTAATTTCCATGGGTGTATGGATATGTAAATAAAATAAGAAAGATCTGGAAAGATACATATATCCAAGTGACAATAGTTATTTCTTTTTCTCTTTTGTTGGTGTGGGTCTTAAACTCTGAACCAGGTGCTGGTGACTCACACCTATAATCCTAGCTACTCTGATAGTTGAGATCTGAGGGTCTCATTCCAAAGCTAGATTGGACAGACAAATCTTATAGACTCCTATTGCCCATTGACAAGTAAAATTATGGAACTGGCTCAAGTGGTACAGAGCCAGCCTTGATCGAAAAAGCTGAGCGAGGCCTGAAATTTAAGCTCTATTAAAAAAAAAAAAGTTGCAGGGAGCCAGTGGCTCACGTCTATAATCCTAGCTACTCAGGAGGCTGAGATCTGAGAATCGCAGCTTAAAGCCAGCCCGGGCAAGAAACTCTGTGAGACTCTTATCTCCAATAAACCACTAGAAAACCGGAAGTGGCACTGTGGCTCAAGCGATGGAGCGCTCACCTTCAGCTGAAGAGCTCAGGACAACACTCAGACCCAGAGTTCAAGCCCATGACCGATTTAAAAAAAAAAGTTCTCCTGGACTAGGAGGTGTACTCAGTGATGGCATGTATATTTCATATGCAAGAGGTATTGAGCTCACTTTCTACCACTATTAAATAAAATGTAAAATAATGTTTTTTCTTAGTAAACAAAGAAGGGAGAAGAGAGGGAGCTGGTCTAAGTGCTATTCAGGATGAGATTACTTGACTAGAAGAGGCAGCTAAAAAGCAGGGGGAGTCTGGAGAGAGAGGTGGAGTGCCACTGGGGGGCAGAACAAGGCCAGCACAGGCCTGGTCAGGAAAGAGGAGCCAGGGAGGGCAGAGGGCACCAGCTGGAGGCAGACAGGAGCTCACCATCGAGTCAGGGAGTCCTGGATGGCGTTGGTGAGCGCATGACCCAGGTGCAGGGAGCCTGTCACGTTGGGGGGTGGGATGCACATCATGAAGACCCCTCGGGGATTTGGTGCTGACACATTAGGACGCTGATGACGGAGAAGGATGGGCACATGCTAAGGTCTCATGTCACCTCACCTAGCCCCCTCCCAGGCCATGGCTCCTTTAGCCCTGCCCTTCCCCACTCCATGCTCCTTAGGGCCTTGGCGGCAGTGACTGCTCACCCCGTATTCCGGCTTGAAGAAGCCCTGCTGCTCCCACCAAGGGTACCAGGCAGCCTCCACATACTGAGGGCTGTAGGAGTCCGGCATGGTGCCACTGACATCTGGGGAAAGGAAGGGAGAACTCAGTGCTGAGGCTGGGTGCAGCCAGCACAAAAGAGCCTCTGGCACAGGCAGCTGAATGATCTGCAAACCCTTACAAAACCTGGAAGATGCCAGGACAGGGCAACAAGGGGAGAAAACTTGGGAAGGAATAGCTAAGGGGGGGGAGGGGTGGTTCCCTCCTAGTACCTTTCTTTTCCCCAGGTGGGGTTGGGAGGTCATAGGTAATGACTCCAAGCTCCCGTTTCTCCTTCTTCTCTTGTTTTGGTTTCTTCTGCTTGGGAGGGAGAAAGTACAAGCTAGACATCAACCACCCCACACAGAACCCAGCCTTCTCCCAACTCCTCCTGTGGTCTCTCACCTCTCCAGGGGGTGGCTGCTGCTGTTGGTTCTTCTGCTTTTGTTGGAATTTCTCTAGCTTCTCCCGTTTCTTTGCCTCTTTTTTGAGTTGAGCAGCTGTCTTTGGGGGTGCAGGGACCTCAGGACCTGGAGAGAGGCACAGAAGTTCAGACTTAGCCTGCTGGCAACCCTCTATCAACAGTGCTATTTCAGCTGCCCAAGGCTTGTGGTGAGCTGACCTCCTACCTCCCACTCCCATAGGACCCAGTGATTCAGTCATTCCTAAGATAAACAAGAGTATGGGTTAGGAACTGGTGGCTCACACCTGTAATTACAGCTACTCAGGAAGTTGAGATCTGAGGACTGGGGTTCAAAGCCAGGCCAGGCAGGAAACTCTATGCAATTCTTCTTCTTCTTTTTTGGTCAGACCTGGGGCTTGAAGTCAGGGCCTGGGCACTGTCCCTGAGCTTCATTCCCTCAAGACTAGCACTCTATCACTTAAGTCACAGCATTACTTCCAGTTTTTTCTGTTTATGTGATACTAAGGAATTGAACCCAGGGCTTTATGCTAGGCAAGTACTCTCCACTAGGCCACATTCCCAGCCTCATCTGTGAAATTCTTTTTTTTTTTTTGTCAAACGTGGGGCTTGAACTTGAGGACCGGGCGCTATCCCTGAGCTCTTCAGTTCAAGGTGAGTGCTCTACCACTTGAGCCACAGCGCCACTTCTAGTTTTCTGGTAGTTAACTGGAGATAAGAGTCTCACGGACTTTCCTGCCTAGGCTGGCTTTGAACTGTGATCCTCAGATCTCAGCTTCCTTAGTAGGTAGGATTACAGGCATAAGCCACTGGCGCCCAGCTCATCTGTGAAATTCTTCTTTTTCTTTCTCTTGTCGGTCCTGGGGCTTTAACTCTGGGCCTGGGCACTGTTCCTAAACTCTTCAGTTCAAGGCTAGCACTCTACCACTTGAGCCACAGTGCCACTTCTGGCTTTTTCTGTATATGGTGCTAAGGAATTGAACCCAGAGCCTCATGCATGCGAGGCAAGCACTCTACCACCGAGCCACCTTCCTAGCCCTCGTCTATGAAATTCTTATCACCAATTAAACACACACACACACACACACACACACACACACACACACACACAGCCAGTAGTGGAGCTGTGCTCAAGTGGTAGCCTTGAACACAAAAGCTTAGGGACAGCGCCCTAGGATACATACACACACACACACACACACACACACACACACACACACACACAGCCAGTAGTGGAGCTGTGCTCAAGTGGTAGCCTTGAACACAAAAGCTTAGGGACAGCGCCCTAGGATACACACACACACACACACACACACACACACACACACACACAAACACACACAATGTGGGTTACATGGCAGACCTCAGAAAAGCCCTTAACCCCAACCCCCTTCACCTGGCTGTTGAGAGAGAGACTTGGACCCTGAGTATAGAACCACTTCTCCCAGCACGGCTCGGAACTCTGGCTGCCGGACACAAGTGATAAACCAGCGAGTCACATTACCCCAGATCCGGCGGGCAGAGGGGTCCAGGACCTGTCAGGGAACAGAAATAACTATCATTCACCCTACAGTGAAGTCTAACAGAAGTGCTCTGGTTCCTCCCCGCAGACTCAAGTGACTTACGTATCGGAAAGGTAGCAGCAAGGCTGTCACAGCAGCTAGGTCAGCCAGAGTGGGGGCATCTCCAGCCAGGTAGGTGTGCAGTCGAAGCCACTCCTCCAAGGGGCTCAGGGCCTTACCCAGGGCCCCCAATGCAGCCTGGCAAGAAGAGAAAGGGGTGTGAAACAAAGCTTGCCCGCTTCAGTCTCACCCCATCCTATGTGGCTTCCCTTCTCTCCCCAAAATCACCATCTGAGGCCAGTTCCTTCTTCATACAAATGATCATAACAAAAATACTTCTAGCTGGGCCGGGCGCTGGTTGCTCACGCCTGTAATCCTAGCTACTCAGGAGGCTGAGATCTGAGGATCGCGGTTCAAAGTCAGCCCAGGCAGGAAAGTCCATGAGATTCTTATTCCCTTAATTAACCAACAGAAAATCAGAAGTGGCACTATGGCTCAAGTGGTTAAGTGCTCGCCTTGAGCTGAAGACCTGAGAGGCAGTACCATACCCAGAGTTCAAGTTTCACAACAACAAACCCAAACAAACAAACAAAAATCTTCTAATCTGGGCACTGTTGGGTCATGTCTGTAATCCTAGCTACTCAGGAGCCTGAGATCTGAGGATCACGGTTCAAAGTCAGCCTGGGCAGGAAAGTCCGTAAGACTCTTATCTTCAATTAACCACCAGAAAACAGGAAGTGGTATTGTGGCTTAAAGTGGTTGAGTGCTAGCCTTGAGTAAAGAGCTCAGGGACAGCACCCAAGCCTCAAGTTCAAGCCCCACAACCAATCAAAAAAAAAATCCAAAAGAACAACAACAACAAAAAATCTCACTTTCTAAATGGAGATGTTGCTCAGTGGTAGAATGCGTGCATAGCAAGCAAGGTGCCCTGAAAAGTATAGCTGTTATATGTAAATCTATGTATTTTTTATTTATCCAACAACTCCCTACTGAACACTTTTTACATGGAAGTTGGAGTAAGGATTATATGAGGAAACCTAGTAACTGCAGGATTTAGAACATCAACAAGTATTTCCCACTTAGGGAACAACAAATGAGCAAATATGTGAAGCATTATTTTATTTTTTTTCTGAACTTTTATGAAGACATGTTGGCTGAGAGTATTACTTGAGGAAAGGCACTCACTCTATTTTAGCTGGATGATCACAGTATGAGGAAGCAAGCCCACATATACATGTCAAATTCATTTTTCAGTCCCTCACTGCAGAAATACTAAGCATTCACCATATGCTGCTACTCTTCAGGAGGCAGTTTTTTGTGTTTTTGGTTGGTCATGGGGGCTGAACTCTGGGCCTGGGTGCTATCCCTCAGCTCTTCAGCTCAAGGCTAGCACCCAATCACTTAAGCCACAGCGCCACTTCCAGCTTTTTTCTGCTTATGTGGTGCTGAGGAATTGAACTCCGGGCCTCATGCATGTGAGGCTAGCACTCTACCAGAGCCAACTTCCCAGCCCAGAGGCACAGTTTTGTTCATTTTGGCTGGTCATGGACCTTGAACTCAGGACCTGGACACTGTCTCTGAGCTGTTTTAAGGCTAGCACTCTAGCACTTGAGCCACAGCTCTAATTCCAGCTTTTCGGTGGTTAACTGAAGATAAGAGTCTCATGAACTTTCCTACCCAGATTGGCTTTTAACTGTGATCCTCAGATCTCAGCCTCCAGAGTGGCTAGGATTACAGACCATGATATCTTGCAGGAGGTAGTTTTAAGTACATTAAGGCAAAGCCCTACTCTAGTCTTTTCCTCTATTTTCCTGTCTCATAATTGTCTTCTCTTCTCACCTGGGGGTCCTGAGCAGGGCCTCGGAGTCCCAGAGCTGGTAGTGTTGCCCCACAAGCAGCTGGTATGAGCTCCGTATCTGCATAACTGACCCACTGTTGGACAAGGACAGCTGCCCGGCTACCTCCAGGGCCTCCTAGGCCTGCTGGCCACAGGAGCTGAGCCACAGCTGTGGCTCCCCACACCCAGAGGCCACCGGGTCCCTGCTCCAGGGCAGGCAGGCGAGGTGGGGGATAGGGAGTCCGGCTGGTAGGGGGTGGCTGGAGACAGATGCGAGGGTGGGGTCCTCCCCAGCCCGGGCCCTCTCCAGCCTCCCCATAGCGAGCCGCTATGAGGGCTCGGAGGCTGGGGAACGCATCTGGATGAGGGGAGACGTAGAGGATGGACATGGTCTTGTAGAGGTCCGAACGAGGTGGAGAGACCTACGGAGGAGAGGCAGAGAGTCGCTGAGGGACCCTGGAAGTCCGACACTTCAGAAGGGTCCCTCAAGGCGCTGCTCGGACGCAGCTGTGTGAATGGGCCTCGGATGCGGAGGGTGGCGGTGACAGGGGGGAGCGTCCTCTGGATTTGGGGGCCCGGGGAGCAGGCCGCGCGTACGTACTGGAGGGAGGCGGTCTCACGGAGCGGGGAGTCCACCTGGCAGCTGGTTTCTGCCACGGCTGGACGGGTGGGGAGGCCGGGGCAGAGGAGCGGGCCGGCGGAGATGGTGGGCGGTTCTCCGGCGACCCCAGCTCACTGCGACCGACCGCCCCAGGGGCAGCCTGCACCCACGTGTCCGCCGCCCCCCCTTTGTGACAGCGAGCGTTTCCGGGAGCGCGGGGCCTGGCGGGGGCAGCCGTGCGCCCGCCTGCGATACGCGCACTTGCCCGCCCGGCCTGCCTCGGGCACCGGCCGCCGCCGCCCGCCCGCCCGCCGAGCTCACGAGAGAATGCGCGGGGCGCAGGCGCGGGGCGTGAGGTTCCCGCTCCCGTACCCCACCGGCGGCGCCACGCTCCGGTCAGGCGTCGGCGAGGACACCCCGAGGGGTCCTCGGGCCGGGCCGCTGCGGGCGGGGCCGGCCGGCGGCGGGGCAGCTAGCGCGGGAGGAGCCGCCCGGCCGGGAAGCTGGCACGTCTGCCAGGTCCTCACAGCCTAGAATGGCCGAGTGGGGAACTTAGCTGCAGAACAAAGGAATGAATGACTCACTTAGTGAACTGCCAAGCCCAGGTGGCTCACGCCGGTAATGCCAGCTGCTCTGGAGGCTGAGCGCTGAGGATAGCGTTCGGAAGCCCGCCCAGGCAGGAAAGTCCTGAGGCTCCACTCTCCATTTAACCAGCGAAGTGCTAGTAGAGGTGTGGCGCGAGGGGGCTTGAATTCAACCCCAGAACGGTACACACCCCCCCCCCCCAAAAAAACAAAACCCCCACAAGACTTAGTAACCTCCCCACGGTACAAGTTTCGTCACTTGTATTTATCATCCAGAAAAACTTAGCTGGTTTTAGCCTGGTGGCTCATGCCTGTAACCCCTAGCTACTCAGGAGGCAGAGATCTTGAAGATCAGTTCAAAGCTAGAACTGGGATATCCATAAGACTCCAATAAACTACCAAAAAACTCAAAAGAGGGGCTGTGGCTCCAAGTAGTAGAGCGCTAGCCTTGAGCAAAAGACACTCAGGGGCATTGCCCAGTCCCAGAGTTCAAGCTCCAAGACCAGCACACAAAACCACCGATTTGGTTGGATTGAGAAATTAAAGTATCAAAGGCATCTTCATGGTAGAACTCTTGATCAGCTCTGGGTTTTATATCCAACACAAGTAAATAAATAATAAATGCCAAGGGTATTTTTGTGTTTCATTATGTTGTCATGTTAATGGAAAGACATAGAGATGGAAAGATAGTAAGCACTTGAGTTGTGGATACAGTGTAAGCAAAAGGCCTGAGAACTTGTGAGTAGGGCCACAGTTCAAGAAGCTAAGTCCAATTGAAGTGTTCCTTATATACATTTTGACAAAGGCAGATAATGCTAGGGACTTTTAAACTTTGACTGGAAATGAAGAATACCAGATCTTGGAGAATTGAACACCTTTTCCACCACACTCATCGCATCCCACCCTCCCTCAGCCTCCTGCTGTCAGAGCACAGACCACAGAACCAAGACTCAAATTTTGCATCATAAATTTTATTCCCGATGCGGGACAGATGCCTTCCATCCCCCAAATGCTGCCCTAGAAAGACCTAAGGTTCCCAAATCCACGGAAGGAGTGTGAAAGGCAGATGCTGAGTACTGGGAAGGCTTTGTTGTTCCCCAGGCTCTTTATCCCCCTTAACAGGGGGGAGGGTAGTTGCCCCCATTATTATACTATTCTTCTTCTCACCCACCCAATCCTTTAGTTAAAAAAAAACAAAACAAAAAGCAACTATTAAAAAAATCAAGTGTGGGGGGATGTGTCACTAGCTGGGACATGAAGTTAGAAGGTCACCAATGGACAAGGGAGGGGAAAGGGAGTAGGAGCCATCACTGTTTTTGCTGCAGGGCTTCCTTCCTTGCTGCATCCTGTAGCAACTGTGTGTCCACTTCATCTGCTGGCAACTGTACATAGCGGACCACTGAACCCCGGATGAAGCAGTTCTTCACTGATAACTGTACAGAGAAATATGAAAACATCCTTTTAAAAATGTCCTCCATAGACTGGGAATGTGGCTTAGTGGTAGCGTGCTTGCCCAACATGCATGAAGCCCTGGGTTCCATTCCTCAGTACCACAGAAACAGAAAAAGCTACAAGTAGAGCTGTAGCTCAAATGGTAGAGTACTAGCCTTGAGCAAGGACAGTGCCCAGGCCCTGAGTTCAAGACCCAGGACTGGCAAAAAAAGAAAGAAAAAAGTGTCCTCCATACTAGGCACTGGTGGCTCATGCCTATAATCCTAGCTACTCAAGAGGCTGAGATGTGAGGATCGAGGTTTTCAAAGCCAGCCCAGGCAGGAAAGTCGGTGAGATTCTTATCTCCAATAAACTACTCAGAAAAGGCCAGAATTGGCACTGTGGCTCAAATGGTAGAGCACCTTGAGCCAAAAAAGCTTAGAGACAGTGCCCAAGCCCTTAGGTCAAGCTCCAGGACTAGCAAACACCCATGCAAACACGCAAACACACACACACACACACACACACACATCCCACACACATCCCACACACAAACACACACACACACACACACACACACACACACACACACACACAAATGTCCTCTGACCACTCCAGTTGCAGGCTTCCTGCTTTTCTGCACCACCCCAACTCACCATGTGAGGATATTTCTCAGGATCTGTCACACTGATGTCAGTTAGTTTGATGTTGAGATACTAAGAAAGGAAGATAAACACTATTATTAGCCCTAGAGACAAGATATCAGTATCCAATCCTTAAGCTCTCTCCACTCCTTCCCTAAACTCTTGAGTCCTTGATATCTCTCACCTGATCCACAGAATGGAGGGTTCCACAGATGCTGTCAAAGGCAAAGAGAGGGAAGAACCAAATTAATTTATACTAAAATCAACATAGAAGTGACTTCTAGCTAAAATAAAGAATGTGGTTGGGACAGTCAGGCCTTGAAAAAGCCAGTAAAAGGGCTGGGAAGGTGGCTCAGTGGTACAGCGCTTGCCTTGCATGCATGAGGCCCTGGGTTCAATTCCTCAGCACCACATAAGCAAAAAGAAAAAAGCCAGAAGTGGTGCTGTGGTTCAAGCGGTAGAGTGCTAGCCTTGAGCTGAAGAGCTGAGGGACAGTGCCCAGGCCCAGAGTTCAGGCTCCACGACTGGACCCAAAAAAAAAAGAAAAAGCCAGTAAAAAGTGGAACCAAAATAAAGCATTCCTAAGCACTCAACTAGGAAAGTAAGGGGGGAGAGTGGACATGAGGAGGGGAGTTGGGAAGGGATGGGAAGGGGAAACAAAGAAGGAGGCAACAATGCTTGATAAGAAATGTACTCATTACCTTGCCCATATAATTGTAACCCCTCTGTACAGTATTTTCAAAATTTAAAAAAAAAAAGGAAAGTTAAGAAAGTTAACTAGTTTTGTTACTTTAGACTTCACATCTTCTTTCCCTAAACTAACCTTAATAGTTACCAACAACTGTTACCACTAGACCTGTATTTTGTATAGTATTAATTTTTACCTTTGTCGGTCATGGGTCTTGAACTCAGCCTGGGCACTGTCCCTGAGCTCTTCAGCTTGAGGCTAGCGCTCTACCACTTGAGCCACAGTGCCACTTTCGGTTTTCTGGTGGTTAACTGGAGAGAAGAGTCTCACAGACTTCCCTGCCAGGGTTGGCTTTGAACTAAGATCCTCAAATCTCAGCCTCCTGAGGAGCTAGGATTACAGGCATGAGCCACTGGTGCCCATCTATCTTTACCTTTCAAAGGTAGCTACCAGAGAGTCCAGATGGGTTGTATAATGTATCCAAATTTAGAACAAACAAACAAGAACATGAGTTCAGGTCTGTCTAACTCCCAGAACCATCAGCTATTTAAAAATACTGCTTTGGTGTTTGTGCCAGTATTTGGGCATGAACTTGTGCCAGAACACAGGGCCTTAGATTTTTCACTCAAGGCTGGCACTCTACCACTTGAGTCACACCTCTGCTTCCAGCTTTTGATGGAGATAAGTCTTTTGCAGGGTGGGGGGGATGGGAGATGAGAAGGGATAGGAAGGGAAAACAAAGGAGGAGGCAACAAAGCTTGATAAGAAATGTACTCATTGCCTTGCCCATGTAATTGTAACCCCTCTGTACAGAATTTTCACAATTTAAATAAATAAATAAAAAGAGAAAAAAAAAACTATATCATGAGCCAGGCATCGGTGGCTCATGCCTGTAATCCTAGCTACTCAGAAAGCTGAGATCTGAGGATCATGGTTCAAAGCCAGCACAGGCAGGAATGTCCACGAGACTCTTATCTTTAATAAACTACCAGAGAACCAGAAGTGTACTGTGGCTCAAGTGGTAGAGTCCTAGCCTTGAGGAAAAAGAGTTCAGGGACAGAGCCCAGGTCCACAGTTCAAGCCCTATGACTGACAGGCAAGCAAACAAACAAACAAAACTCTATAATTTGAGCTAGGCTTCTCAGGAGACTGAGATCTGAGGATCATAGTTCAAAGACAGCCTGGACAGGAAAGTCCTTACCACTCAAAAAACAGCCAGGATCACACTCATCTCCAAACCAGACAAAGATCCAACAAAAAAAGAGAACTACAAACAAATCTCTTTGATGAACACATATGCAAAGCTACTCAATAAAATTTAAGTCGTTTGTAGAGACCATAAGCCTTATAGACCATGATAATGACAATGCGCCTCATGAAGGTTAAAAAGTATTTGTGACTTTAAGTATCTCTATCCCACAATACTGTGAATTTTATGAAATGTATGCAATCACTTAATCTCAATTAAAGGTGTTTAAAAAATACTGCTTTGGAACCAGAGCGCTATTATAAAGGTAGCTAGCATTCTTCTTCTTCTTTTTTTTTTAACTGAATTTTTTTTTGTCTTTTCTTTTTTTGGTACTGGGGATCGAACCCAGGACGTTGCACTTGCTAGGTAAGCGCTTTGGCACTGAGATACATCCCATCCCTTCTAGCATTATTTTTAATGATATAGACACAAGCCATTTCCTCTCTCCAAAATGTTAATGAGGAACACTGTATCAGTAACAGTGCTCAAAGCCATACTGTTTCCCAATTTATTTTATATCTTGTCAATGGCTGAACTCTGAGCCTGGGTGCTGTCCCTCAGCTCTTCAGCTCAAGGCTAGTGCTCTACCACTTGAGCCACAGCACCACTTCTGGCTTTTTCTGTTTTTGTGGTGCTGAGGAATCAAACCCAGGGCCTCATGCACATATGGCAAGCACTCTACCACTGAGCCTCCTTCCCAGCCTCTGGCTTTAACATTTTCAAGTCTTACTATCTGAAACCCTATGAGTTTTATTTTACTCCTTGTGCTCCATGAACCCCCACAGTTCTGCTAACTTGAGCATTACTACAATTTCTTTTCTAGTTAGACTTCTATGAAGCAAGGTTTGATACTTCACATCTCAATCCAAGCCAGCCTCCTACTATAACCATGTCCTCACTGGGTTCTAATTCTTTAGAACAATGGCTGTCAAACACTTATACTCAATATTTCATGATTTCGGGCTGGGAAGGTGGCTCAGTGGTAGAGAGCTTGCCTTGCATGCATGAGGCCCTGGGTTCGATTCCTCAGCACCACATACGTAAAAAGAAAAAAAGCCAGAAGTGGCACTGTGGCTCAAGTTGCAGAGCACTAGCCTTGAGCTGAAGAGCTGAGGGACAGCGTCCAGGCCCAGAGTTCAGGCCCCACAACCGGACCCAAAAACAAAAACAAAAACAGAAGATTTCATGATTTCCCCCTCCAAAGCAAACAGTGTAACACAGTATATGTACTTGGAATATGCTAAAGGTTGCTAATCGTTTTTCCATAAAATAACTGCTCTTGTCATTCTTTTCCTTTCTGGCATTAAACAAAAACAAAAAGCAAAGCAGGCACCAGTGGCTCACACCTATAATCTCAGCTATTCAGGTAGCTGAGATCTTAGGATCATAGGTCAAAGCCACCCTGGACAGGAAAGTTCATGAGACTTTTATCAACAAGCCAGAAGTGAAGCTTTGTTTCAAGTATAGACCACCAGCCTTGAGCAAAAAAAAGGGACAGTACCACCTAAAAATAAAATTTCAGGGCTGGGAAGGTGGCTCAGTGGTAGAGCGCTTGCCTTGCATGCCTGAGGCCCTGAGTTCGATTCCTCAGCACCACAAAAGCAAAAAAGAAAAAAGCCGGAAGTGGTGCTGTGGCTCAAGTGGTAGAGCTCTAGCCTTGAGCTGAAGAGCTGAGGGACAGTGCCCAGGCCCAGAGTTCAGGCCCCACAACTGGACCCAAAAATAAATTTAAAAAAATTAAAAAATAAAAAAATTTCAGGGGCTGGAGGAGTAACTCCCAGTAGTACAACACCTGATTAACAAGCCAGAAGTCTTAAGCTGAAGCCCAGCCACCCTAACACTCCTGAAAAAAACTTTGAATTAGGGCTAAGAGTGTAGTTTAGTGGTAGAGCACTTGCCTAATTGTGTTTGTTCCCAAGAAACTGAGCCAGGTGCTGGTGGCTCAAGCCTGTAATCCTAACTACTCAGGAGGCTGAGATATGAAGATCCAAGTTCAGAGCCAGCCCAGGCAGGAAAGTCCATGAGACTCTCATCTTCAATTAACCACCAGAAAACAAGAAGTGGCACTATGGCTCAAGTGGTAGAGCGCTAGCCTTGAGCTGAAGAGCTGGGGACAGCACCCAGGCCCCTCGACTGACCCCTCCCCCCAAAAAAAACAAAAAAAGAAAGAGAAACTGAGAGGGCCCTTTGTGCTTGAAACTTGAGATTAGGGAATGCTCAGGAAGAGAAAATTTATGCATTCCTTGCTAATTTTTTATTTTTGGCCAGTCCTGGCTATTTAACTCTGGGCCAGCTCCTTTTGCTCAAGACTAGCACTCTACCACTTAAGCCACGGTGCCACTTCTGGCTTTTTCTGTGATTACAGATAAGGGTCTCATGGACTTTCCAGCCCAGGCTGCCTTCAAACCATGATCCTCAGATCTCAACTTCAGGATTATGGGTATGGGCCACAAGTGCCTCGTGGATTTTTTTTTTTAAGCCTGACAACCAGGTAGCTGAGATTGAGAACTTAGGACTGATGTTCAGGAAAATCCATGATACTCTTTTTTTCTCTATTTTTATTTTTTTATTGTGAAAATACCGTACCATTACAATTACATGGGCAACATAACGAGTACATTTCTTATCAAGCATTGTTGCCTTTGTTTCCCCTTCCCATCCCTTCCCATACTCCCCCCACCGCATGATACTCATCTCCAGTTAACCACAAAAAAGCTAGAAGTGGAGCTGTGGCTCAAATGGTAGAGTGCTAGCCTTGAGCAAAAGCAGCTCAGGGAGAATGCCCAGGCCCTGAGTTCAAGCCCCAGGACCAGGGAAAAAAAAAAAAAAAACTCTCATGTGTTAAATAGCAGTAATATAATGTCTAATGTCACATAGGGTGAATTTGGTAAAAAATGTATTCAGAGCAATGTCTAGTGGGTAGGCTATCTTCATAATTTATTTTTCTTTATACCCTTACTATATACCCATCCTATATTAGACAATAGGTATAGCTATGCACTTATACACTGTCCTGGTTCTATTATAAGAAGAAAATACATTTCTCTGAAATGACAATTTGTAAAGCATCCCAAAAGAAAAGAGTGTGGCTGGGCACTGGTGGTTCACGCCTGTAATCCTAGCTACTCAGGAGGCTGAGATCTGAGAATCACAGTTCAAAGCCAGCCTGGGCAAGGAAAGTCCGTGAAACTCATCTCTAACAAACCACTAGAAAACTGGAAGTGGTGCTGTGACTCAAGCAGTAGAGTGCTCGCCTTGAGCTGAAGAGTGCAAGGACAGTGTTCACGCCCAGAGTTCAAGCCCCACAACCGACAAAAAAAGAAAAAAAACAGACTGTGATAGAAAGATCAATATGATTAGAAGAACTAGGAAGTCTCCCAAAGATACAGTACTTAATCCAAGTCCAGAATGATTAGGAGCCATGATCCAATTGAGTTCTTGCTTAGCTTACTTTTCACTCAAGTCTGGTGCTCTACCACTTAAAACCATATGTATACTTCTGGTTTTTTGTTGGGTATTTGGAGACAAGAGTTTCAGGCCAATTTCAAACCATACTACTCAGTTCTCAGCCTTCTGAGTAGCTAGGATTATAGGCATAAGCCCTTCAGTGACTGAATAACCCATTATCTTTATTAGTATTATTACTACTACTTTGGCCAGTCCTGGGATTTGAACTCAGGACCTGGGCATTCTACCTGAGTTTCTTTTGTTCAAGGCTAGCACCTTACCACTTGAGCCACAGTGCTACTTTCTGGCTTTTTTTATGTGGACCTGAGGAATCGAACCAAGGGCTTCATGCATGCTAGGCAAGCACTCTACCATTAAGCTACATTCTCAGCCCCCCCATTATAAGTTAATAATGAATGGATATTTGTTTCTGATTATTGCAAATAAACCTATTAAAGGCCAGGCGCCAGTGGCTCAAGCCTGTAATCCTATTCAGGAGGCTGAGATCTGAGGATCAGAGTTCAAAGCCAGCCCAGACCAGAAAGTCTGTGAGACTCTTATCTCCAATAAACCACCAGACCAACCAGAAGTGGCACTGTGGCTCAAGTGGTAGGGCACTTGCCTGCCTTGAGCTGAAGAGCTGAGGGGCAGCACTCAGGCCCAGAGTTCAAGCCCCACGACTGACAAAAACAAAACAGACAAAAATAAACCTACTCAGAAAAAAATTTCTCCCACCTTACAAAGCCTTCCAATATTTGTCAAATTAAATGTCCATTCCAGGACACTGGACACACCCATACTCCACAGACTCCTTAGTACCTACCTCAGGTCATTCTTGAGCTCCACGACCACATCCTTGCCCACCAAGGACTTGAAAAAGGAGTAGAAGAGCTAGTGGGCAAAGTGGGGAAATGATTACTTGGAAGAGGACATGGTAGGGAGGAGTGTTCCCCTGCCAATATTTTCAAATACTGCTACGTGCATCCCCCACTACATCTCAGGTAGTTCTCAAAACTTTCCAGCAGCTGGAGGAAAGGAGGCTGAGATCTGAGGGTTTCAGTTCGAAGCTAGCCTTGAGCAAAAAAACTCAGGGACAGTGCCCAGGCTGAGTTCAAACCTCAGACCCAGCGTGTATACATACACACACACACACCCCAAAATTTCCCAGCAAAGGCTCGGTTAATAAAGATGAGGCTGAGGCGCATAGGATTCTGCACACCTTACGGAGCTGCTCATTTAAAGCCCCTGAGACACTACCCTGCACCCCTGAGACCCCGGGCCGGATCTCTCGACCATCGTCCTCCCGGGTCCCTCCCCATGCTGGCAGTAAACTGCAGGGGTCCCAGGAGCACCGCCCGAAGCCAGGCCTCCCCCAGGGAAACGCTCCTCCGGGGCTGGCTTTCCCATCTCCTGCGGTCCCCACAGACTTTCGGATTTTTTTTTTGTTTTTCCCTGTTAGGGGATTAAAAAAACAAAGCCAGCTGCTTCCAGAAGCGTGTTCAAAGAACTCCAGCCCAAAGGGACAAAATCACTCTCCGGGCCCGCCGCTAACAGTCCGAACCGCCCGAGCCCGGACCGGCGCTCCCGCGTGACGTCACCGTACCCACCATGGTGCTGGCGCCGCGCGCTGTGGGCCGGACCGGGAAGAAGAGATCTGAGCGCCACGGGCCGGACACCGGGTGGCAACCCGCGCAGGAGCCCGCGCGTGGGGCGGGGCGGGATTACGCAGGCGCAAAGGGAGAACCACGGAAAACTCCGAGTAATGACGGAGAGCGCGCGAAGATTTGTAGGCCGGGAGAGTAGAGCCGAATGGCCCGTGGAGCCCGGGGAAGGGGCGGGGCTTCCTGTCTTCGGACTTCCGGGGGTGGCGGTAAGGACTCGCTGCGCACGCGCGAGCCAGAGCGCCTCTGCTCGGAGGTTTGTATTTTCATTGTGCCTTGTGCAGTGGGATTTGCGAGCAACACCTCACCCGCTCCCTTTCACGTTTGTGAAAAACTCGTAAGGACTGTACTCTAAAATGTGTTGGGAGGTCTGGGAAGTTGGCTCAGTGGTAGAGCGCTTGCCTTGCATGCTTGAGGCCCTGGGTTCGATTCCTCAGCACCACATAAGCAAAAAGAAAAAAAAGCTGGAAGTGGTGCTGTGGCTCAAGTGGTAGAGCGCTAGCCTTGAGCTGAAGAGCTGAGGGACAGCGCCCAGGCCCAGAGTTCAGGCCCCACGACCGGACCAAAAAAAAAAAAAAAAAAGTTCTTTCAAGGGCTGGGAAAGTGGTAGAGCGCTTGCCTTGCATGCATGAGGCCCTGGGTTCAATTCCTCAGCACCACATAAGCAAAAAGAAAAAAACCGAAAGTGGTGCTGTGGCTCAAGTGGTAGAGCTCTAGCCTTGAGCTGAAGAGCTGAGGGACAGCGCTCAGGCCCAGAGTTCAGGCCCCACAACCGGACCAAAAAAAAAAAAAAATGTGTTGGGAAAGGTCTGGGAACGTGGCTCAGTCGTAGAGTGCTCGCCTAGCATGCACAAAACCCTGGGTTGGATTCCTCCGCACCACATACACAGAAAAAGCCAGAAGTGGAGCCGTGGAGTGGTAGAGCCCTAGCTTTGAGCAAAAGAAGCTCAGGGACAGTGCCCAGGCAGTGAGTTCAAGCCCCAGGACTAGCAAAAAATAAAATTAAAATGTGTTGGGAAGTCACATACCAATGGCTCACACCTGTAATCGTAGCTACTCAGGAGGCTGAGAGCTGAGGATTACGATTTGAAGCCAGCCTAGGCAGGAAAGCCTGTGAAACTATCTTCAATTAATTACTGAAAAGCTGGAAGTGGAGCTGGGGCTAAAGTGGAGAGCTCCAGTCATGAGCTGTAAAAGCTCAGTGCCCCAGACCTGAGTTCAAGACCCAGTATGGGCAGACACACACACACACACACACACACACACACACGAAATTGAGGTAGGGTCCTGCATACAAGGCCAATTTTTTTTGTCAGAGGTTCTCAGTATTCTCCCAGATTCTGTTTTTGTTCTGGTTCTGTTCTGTTTTTGTTCTTGTCCATGCTAAGCAAATTTGCTAATAAGCTACACAGCCCACATCCCAGTCTACTTTTGCCTAGACTATCTTGTAAAAAGGATTAAAACTAAACAGTCTGTGCATCAGGGATAGCAATAACCCATCCTAATATTTCACTTCCAAATCTTACCCCTTTTCAAGCTGAAAAATATGCAGTTGCATTCAGTTCCAAACTCATGTTCCTCAGGCTTTGAAAAATAGATGAAATTGTAACAGATATTTAAAAACTGCTTTTGCTGGGAGCTGGAGATGTAGCTTAGTGGTAGAGCATTTGCAAATATATAGAAACAGACCTATGTCACTCATTTCTCATCTTGCCAAAAGTACTCATTTCTCAGGAGTTTGTTTGAATTTGTAGAAAAAAATATTTTCTGCATGTGAACTATATAATAATGGATTCTTTTTTTTTTTTTTTTTTTGCCAGTCATGGTGCCTGAACTCTGGGCCTGGGCAATGTCCCTCAGCTCTTCAGCTCAAGGCTGGTGCTCTACTACTTGAGCCACAGCACCACTTCCAGCTTTTTCTGCTTATGTGGTGCTGAGGAATCGAACCCAGGGCCTCATGCATGCAGGGCAACCACTCTACCACTGAGCCACCTTCCCAGCCCCTATAATAATGGATTCTTGAGTGCATAGACAGTGGATCCCCAGTATCTACTCTCAGATCCCATCTATAAAAAACAGGACAAGCAGCACTTGCTCCCGTCCCCCAGCTAAACCCAAAGTACTTGGATCAGCCTATAATGTATATTAGCAGTAACCATAGTTAGCAACCATTCCATTTGGACTAAAGGTGCCTGAGGAGCGAATATTATTTTGTTTGAAACAACAAGCTCATGAAACTCCAAGTACTTTGCCCTTACCAGTTTAATAATTCCCAGTGAGCTCACAGAGAACACATGCTGTCTATGAATTCTCTGTCTCCTTACTTTCCAAGGTATACTCATAGCCTAAAGATACCAGAAGTAATTTCCTTTGGGAACACATTTACTGAGTGACAAATAACCATCCTCACAGCAAGGAGAAAGTCGGGGTGGCTGGAAATAAATAACAGACATTCAAATTCTTCAAGTGGTTCAAAGAGATGCCTAGTTTTCCTAAAAGTTCATTTCAGAGTCACAGTCACAGATATTGGCATATGAAAAGATGGTATATGAAACTCCTCCATCAAAACTCAAAAGGGATGGTAATTGAAGTTCAGTCAATTGAAGAACCATAACAATGTCTGAAGATGAGGGTATAAATTTCACTTCGAGACACCCTAGCATTCTCCAGTTCCAGACAAGGTTAATCTACTTCTTCAATGGTAGGGCCAGAAGCAGCCCTTCCAGGTGTATACCCTGTTCCACAGGTAGGTCCAGTGCATCCTCCCTGGTAGAGTTTTGTGATGATGGGGTTACACAACTGCTCCAATTCCTTTCTCTTATGATCAAATTCATCTTTCTCAGCTAGTTGATTGGCTTCCAGCCAGGAAAGGACCTCATTGCATTTTTCCAGTATTTTCTTTTTATCAGAATCACTAATCTTTCCCTTCAAACCTTCGTCACTCACAGCACTCTTCATGTTGAAAGCATAGGATTCTAAGGCATTTTTTGCAGCGATTTTGTCCCTTTGGATCTCATCTTCAGCTTTATATTTTTCTGCATCCAGAACCATACGTTCAATCTCCTCCTTGCTCAGGCGGCCCTTGTCATTGGTAATGGTGATCTTGTTAGCCTTCCCGGTGCTCTTGTCCATGGCTGTGACATTGAGAATACCATTGGCATCGATGTCAAAGGTCACCTCGATCTGAGGAACTCCTCTGGGTGCAGGAGGTATTCCAGTCAGGTCAAAGCGTCCCAACAGGTTGTTGTCCCTTGTCATAGCTCTCTCGCCCTCATATACCTGGATCAATACCCCAGGCTGGTTGTCTGAGTATGTGGTGAAGATCTGAGTCTGTTTAGTGGGGATGGTGGAGTTGCGCTTGATCAAGATAGTCATCACACCCCCAGCTGTCTCCAATCCCAGGGAGAGGGGAGCTACGTCCAACAAAAGCAGATCCTGCACCTTCTCAGACTTGTCACCCATCAAAATAGCTGCCTGGACTGCAGCTCCATAAGCTACTGCTTCATCTGGGTTGATACTCTTGTTGAGATCACGGCCATTAAAATACTCCTGAAGTAGTCTCTGTACCTTCGGGATGCGGGTGGACCCCCCTACTAAAACAATATCGTGGATTTTAGACTTATCCATCTTGGCATCCCGAAGAGATTTTTCCACAGGCTCCAGGGTACCCCTAAACAAATCTGCACACAACTCTTCAAAACGAGCCCTAGTGATGGATGTGTAGAAGTCAATGCCTTCATAAAGTGAGTCAATTTCCAGGTTGGCCTGGGTGCTGGATGACAGAGTCCTCTTGGCCCTCTCACAGGCAGTGCGCAGCCGCCTCACAGCCCGCTTGTTCTGGCTGATGTCCTTCTTATGCTTCCTCTTAAATTCCTCCACAAAGTGGCTCACAAGTCTGTTATCAAAGTCCTCCCCACCCAAGTGGGTGTCCCCAGCTGTAGCCTTTACCTCAAAAATCCCATCGTCTATAGTCAGGATGGATACATCAAAGGTGCCTCCACCCAGATCAAAGATGAGGACATGTCGCTCCCCCTGTCCACCTTTATCTAAACCATAGGCAATGGCAGCCGCAGTGGGTTCATTGATGATTCTCAGCACATTGAGGCCTGCGATCACACCTGCATCCTTGGTGGCCTGGCGTTGAGAGTCATTGAAATAGGCTGGCACGGTGATCACGGCATTGGTGACAGTGTGGCCCAAAAAAGCCTCTGCAGTCTCTTTCATCTTGGTCAGTACCATTGAAGAGATCTCCTCAGGGTAGAAAGCTTTCTTCTCCCCTTTATAAGACACCATCACTTTGGGCTTCCCTCCTTCATTGATCACTTGAAATGGCCAAAGTTTCATATCTGACTGTACAACGGGATCGTTAAATTTTCTGCCGATCAGACGTTTGGCATCAAAGACAGTATTCTGCGGGTTCATGGCTACCTGGTTCTTAGCCGCATCTCCAATGAGCCGTTCAGTGTCTGTAAAGGCTACATAACTGGGGGTGGTGCGGTTGCCCTGGTCGTTGGCAATGATCTCCACCTTGCCATGCTGGAACACCCCCACACAGGAATAGGTGGTACCCAGGTCGATGCCGATGGCTGTACCCTTAGCAGCAGCCATGGTTTTCCTAGGCCTGTAGACAAAAAGTGACATAATTTTGCAGAGGACTTTTTAAATTTTATTTACTAGGTAGCAAATTGTTTTTATTATAAGCCACCTATTGATTATTCTGTTTTTGTAAAAAAAATAAAACACACAAGTATAAGAATAATAAACATATCTAAGACTCTCTAGCACTTATAAGAGGGGAAAATGCCTGAAGCAGAGAACCTGTAGATGTGTTCTTTTTTCTGTCTTTCTTTTTCTCTTTTTCTTTCTCTCTCTTTCCTTTTTTTTCTTTTTTTTTTTTGCTGGTACTGGGAATTGAACTCAGGGCTTGTTTGTCTTGTTTGACTTTTGTTTGGCTCTTTAACTCATGGCTACCACTTAAGCCACATCTCCCATCTCCACTTTTTGCTTTTTGCTGGTTAAACAGAGGTAAGAGTCTCACTGCTGCGTCCAGGTGACTCACACAATCCAAGCTATTCAGAAAGTTGAGATCTGTGAACCAAGGTTTGAAGCCAGCCTGGTGAGGAAAGACCATGAGACTCCTATCTTCAATTAACCAGCAAAAAAGTAGG